TAGTATTTTTAGCGACATGATTGAAAGATCTTTGGAAGTTTTCATGGATGATTTTACTGTTTTTGGGGATTCATTTGATGATTGTTTAACGAACTTGCAAAAAGTTTTAGTTAGGTGTGAAGAAAAGAATCTTGTGCTCAACTGGGAAAAATATCATTTTATGGTTACTAAGGGCATCGTACTTGGTCATATTGTATCACCTAACGAAATTGAGGTAGACAAATCTAAAACTGAATTGATTTCTAATTTGCCTACTCCACATAGTGTTAAAGAGGTAAGATCTTTTTTAGGACATGCTGGTTTTTATAGAAGATTTATCAAAGACTTTATTGCCATATCTAAACCATTGTATAATCTCTTATCTAAAGACATGCCTTTTGAATGGATTAAGTCTTGTCAAGAAGCTTTTGTTAAACTTAAGAACATGCTTACTTGTGCTCCTATCATGCAATCTCCAGATTGGAATTTACCTTTTGAAATCATGTGTGATGCTAATGATTATGCTGTTGGAGCTGTATTAGGCCAAAGAAAAGATAAGAAACCTCATGTCATTTACTATGTAAGTAAAACTCTAAATAATGCTCAAATGAATTATTCCACCACTGAAAAAGAATTGCTTGCTGTAGTGTTTGCTTTGGACAAATTTCAATCATATCTTGTTGGTTCACCAATTGTTATTTTTAGTGATCATGCAGCTTTAAAATATCTTCTCTTTAAGAAAGATGCCAAACCTAGGTTGATTGGGTAGATTCTTTTACTCCAAGAATTTGACATCACCATTCGAGAAAAGAAAGGAGTAGAGAATGTTGTAGCTGATCACTTGTCCAGGCTTACTTGTGATGAATCGTTTGAAACAACATCAATCAAGGATACTTTCCCTGATGAACAACTTTTTAGTGTTTCTGACTTGCCTTGGTTTGCTGATATTGCTAATTTTCTTGTGACAAGTCAAATACCATCTCATTGGAATGCCCAAGACAAAAAGAAATTCTTCTAGGAGGTAAGAATTTTCTTTTGGGATGATCCTCACCTGTTCAAATATTGTCCAGACCAAATAATAAGAATATGTGTGCCAAATAATGAAATCCAAAAGATAATTGCCTTTCGCCATTCTAAAGCATGTGGTGGTCACTTTTCTTCTAAGAAAACTGCTGCAAAAATCTTGCAGTCTAGATTTTATTGGCCAACTCTTTTCAAAGATACATATGAATTTTGTAAAGTTTGTGAATGTTGTCAAAAATTAGGTGGGATAAGTCGTAGAAATATGATGCCACTGACACCCATACTAGTTATTGAAATATTTGATTGTTGGGGTATCGATTTCATGGGTCCATTCCTATCATCTTTTGGTTATTTATACATCTTGGTGGGAGTTGATTATGCTTCTAAATGGGTAGATACAATTCCTTGTAAGCACAATTATCACAAAATTCTTTTGAAATTTTTGAAAGAAAATATTTTGTCAAGATTTGAAATACCGCGAGCCATTATAAGCGATGGGGGTTTACACTTCTGTAATAAACATTTTAATGCCCTAATGAAAAAAAATATGGGATTACTCATAAAGTGTCTACTCCTTATCACCCAAACAATAGTGGTCAAGCTGAACTTGCAAATAGAGAGATTAAATGCATTTTGGAAAAAACAGTGAATCCAAATAGAAAAGATTGGTCTTTACGATTAACTGATGTTCTTTGGGCTTATCGTACAACTTTCAAAACAACCCTTGGTATGTCACCTTATCGACTTATTTTTGGAAATCCTTGTCATTTACCTGTTGAATTGGAACACAAAGCATTTTGGGCTATTTAAATGTTTAATTTCAGTTTAGATGAGGTAGGTTCACTTAGGAAACTTCAACTAAATGATTTGGAAGAAATCAGGAATGAAACTTATGAGAACTCTCGAATTTACAAGGAAAGAATGAAGGTATTCCATGATATAAACATTGTTAGAAAAACTTTTGAGCCTTCCCAAAAAGTTCTTTTATACAACTCAAGGTTACATTTATTTCCTGGAAAATTACGCTCCAAGTGGACTGGTCTTTTCATTGTCAAAACTGTTTACCCACATGGAGTTGTAGAAATAGAAAATCCAAGTAATGAAAATATTTTTAAAGTTAATGAATATCGTTTGAAACCATTTTTAAGAATTTCTCTAGATTAGAAGAGTCCATTGCTTTACATGATCCTAAAGATTGATATCCTTTTCTCATTGCTTTATTTTGTAGGTTTATTTTTAATTTTATAATGTTGTGTGTTTGTTTTAGGTGTGTTTCTTTTATTGTCATTTTTTTTCACTAATGAAATTGAAGATTCATTTAGGCTAAGTTTATGCAAACTTTGCAGGTAAAGCTCAAAACCCGCCCCTTTGTTCAAAATTTTGCAACTTACTGTCCTTCATATATTTTGCACATTTTATCTTTACATTGAGGACAATGTTTCATTTAGGTTGGGCAGAAAGGAATCAAAAAGTTCAAAAAATAAAAAGTTCTTACCGACCGATGATAATATTTGAAATTGTTTTTATATTATTGTAACTAGGGGATGTTGCTCTGATTTATTTTAAGCTTATTCATGTTAGATTGATTTACATTGAGCACAATAATCATGAAAATCACATATTATTTAGATTGGATCAATGGATATAAAATGTAGAATTAAATATGACAAAAAAAAATCATACTAAACCAATTTGAGGATAGTTTGGGGTGGTTGAGCTGTTGTAGGGAGACATTGAGATAGATGTGGATTCCATGTGTTAAATTTTGTGTGGATTTCTTAAGACCAATGAGATGATAATTAGGTGAAAATCTTAAGTTAAAGACCGATTTTTGAGAATAAGTGTTTAATGAGGGGCATTGCACTAATCATTGCATAGAATGAAAAAACTGACATGTTGTGAAGCTACCCTAAAAGAGCCCAATGAGGATAATTTTATATATATATATATATAAAGAAATCAGGCTAGTGCATGAAACAGAATATGCATGGCAAACTTGAAAAAAACAGATGCAGGAAATAGAAGACGCACTACATGCCTTGATTAAATCCCAAACACTTATTTTAGAGAATTAGACCTTTGATAAGGGATTAGTAGTTTAGTTGATTCTTGGAGGTTGAATCAGTTAAAATTAATGAGAATCCTCATTTATTGATGTGTTGAGCTACAATTAGTAAAATCTAACCAAACTAGAGAGGATGAGTAATAGTATATAAATTTAACCATAAATCACACCTCGGGAAAATAATTACAAAATCAAGTTTGGGGTGTGCATCCAACGAGAGAAGAGAGAAACAATTGACCGTTGAGGGTTGGGATGAATCCAATTTGAAAAAGTATGTAATTGATTGAATTGATTACACACACACACGTTGGTTGAGCATTGAACAAGTTAGACTATGTTTTGGTAACAAACCTTAGAAGAATTTTGATAAGCAATTTCAAATCCTAAGGCAATTTCATTTGAACTATTTTTGAATTTTTATTGCTAGAGACTAGCAATATCTTGGTTGGGGAGTGTGATTAGTGTCTAAAAGTGTTTCAAAGATATATCATTTACAAGACATTTTACATTCACTTTGTTTAAAAACACTAATATTAGTATCTAATTTCAATTCTCTTGCTGTAAATTCAATTTCCACAAATACATGGTTAAAAATGCAATTAATTGAAATACGTATTTACATACATGTCGGCATAAGTATTATACATTTGAAAGAGTATCTATTTGATATATTTCACATGTATTTCCAATTTAGAACAAGTGGAGCAAGTGGAGGAAAATAATGTTGAAAAGTCAAGAATAGTGACTGTCTCAAGCAAGAAGTAGCTATCGGTAAAATGATCATAACTTGAGCTGCAAACATTGAACTGAGGTGATTCAAGTTGGGTTGGAAAGATAAGGCATGTTTCTACAACATTCATGTTTAGTATGAAGTCAAATTCATATCACAAGGAAGCCAAAATTACAGTGCAAAGTCTATCTTGTTACCTACCGGATATATCTTTTCTACCTGTCAAGCAGTACTCATTGTTTTTGTCATATCTGGAGTTATATAGATCCAATGAACCTGATATTTGCACCAATGGAAGCTAACTCAAGTGGCAATAATTTATCTATTGATCATAAGTCCAAATTCAATGCACAAAGTATCTGAAAATTGGCATCAAATTTCATGTTCAAGCTGTCTTGAAGCTGGACAGAAACAAATTGCATTGTCCACTTGCATTTTGGATGTTCCTTTGCCTATAGAAGGGGACCTTGGCCACGATTTTTAGAGCATCAATTCCTCTTCATCATATTCTACTTTCCTTCATTTTCTTTGTAACATTTCAATATGTCTTTCTAAACCATTAGCTAGAGTTAGGGGTGAAACTTTGGTGAATACATAGTATTGTCTTTGATCTTTTATTTTGTTCTTCAATGTTCATCTTCTTCTTGGTTGACGTATATGTTCTACAAATTATTTTGGTTTGTTAAAGACTTTGATTTATTGTTGACAATTTTGGTACAATAAATGCTTAGATGATCTTTACATACCAGCAACTTATTTTGACATATTCTCTCAAACAATTATCAAGATCTATCTTTCAGTATATTTGCAATCAATATTTTATCTTCCATATTCCATATGAGTTGAATAAAATATCAAGAGTAATTTCTACCCATTTATTCGAAGTGAATCCCTGACGCTCTAGTGTTCTTCTCTATCGTATTTCCCCCAACCATTTACCACTCATAGAATAGTTTATTTCCTTCCAATTCCCTGTGGTTTGACCTTGGACTTCCGAGTTTACTACTTACGACAACCTGCACTCGGGTTTGCAACCTTAAAGCTGTAGCACCAATCATCTCACAATTATATTTTCCAATATTGTTACTATGTACGTCTGTGCAATTGTTCATCCTACAATAAGCAATCATATAAACTGACCAAGCTGCAAACATTTCCAATCTCTAACATAGCTACTTAGGGCAAGTCATTGCTAGCCTGAGAAGTGGAATTTTGATGAAAATTTTGGAATTACACCTTTGAGAATGATCCCTTTTTCTGAATTGGTGGTAAGCTGATCACAATTTGAAGAAATGTTTGGATTGTGTCAACGATGCTGTAACATAGCAAAAAGAAACATGTAATGAAATAACAAGTAGTTATATAACTTAATGAAATAAGTAGTTATACTTTTTCTAAACATGCTCTAAAACTTAAGAAAATAAGTAGTTATACTTTTCAGTCTTCTTCCTGGTATTTTGCCAGTGCTTAGACTAAGTTCATGACCACCTGCATGTGAAAAACCAAAGGTAGTGAGGGAGAAAGAGAATTTGAACACTGCAAGTGAAGAATGAGTATCATTCATAATCCTTTTAAATTAAGATCTGAAAATTTTACCCTTTCCAAGGTCATTCTCAAGCTCATGAGCCACAACTGACCCTTATATTGCTCCAAATACTACATCAACTGACCCTTATATTGTCCCAAAGCTTATCAAGCCTTGTAAGCTTCAGATCTTAAAAGGTTGAAATTGTCTGGTTCAACTATAACTCATAGAAATTTTGAAATCATTCAAGGCTTTTTTCTTGTAGTATAAATTTATCTTCTTATCCACAAATGCAGAAACTTTTTTGCACTAAGCCCCTGTTTGGTGGCCATTTTTTGGGGAAAAACATTGTTTAAAAATCAATCAAGGAGGGGTATAGCTTGAGCTACTTTCCCCACCACGAGAAAGTCCATCCACTCATAAAGAGGGAAAAAACTTAAAGCTTGACATAAGACGCTAGTAGAGAAACAAGACACCCAATTTCACTTGATTGATCAGTATGATCCATAAAGATAATACATAGTTTTCTAGTCAAGTAACAAACTGAAGCCAATAATTTTCCACAATGATTAAAATTTATAGAAGGCCCCAGGGTTGGATGAGGATATCTTCATACCATTTACTGACCATTCCAAAGACTACATCAGCTGAAAGTAAAGAATTAAAATTCACGCTATGATTGTACAAAATAAAAACAGATATAACAAAGTAAAAATTATTTAAAATATGTTCATACAGCATACTACCCATGTGATACCTAAATTATAAGGTTAAAAACACTTCAAGAATATTGTGTTAATTCTTTTAGAAGTTTGTCATTGATCCTTACCATTCAAACATTCAAATTAGAATTGCAGCAGCTAAAATGTATATTGCATTATTACTTGCTCATGTCCTAACCATTCAAACTCTCATATTTCCATTAGCCCAACACATCTGCTTGCTTAGGTAGTGCCGTAGTGACAAACAGAAAAAAGAGATTGGATTCATAGTTGGCAAGGAAATTGATCCACAGTTCCACACAGCCCACACCCCACATCCACAAAAAGGCAGTTTTGGCAAAGACCCTAGGGCTTGAAGGCAAAGGGAAAGAGGTCAATCTAAAGACAAATGAAAGTGATGAAAATGAGGCCAAACTGAATGGTAATGGCCAAATGGACAGTGGATTGACCTGACGGTGGAGACCAGAGACAGAGTTGTGGTCATGGAGAGTCGGACTGTCGCAGTCGGAGCAACGGAGACGACACAGCAGGATGAGCAGCCGGCAGCATATACGTATTTGATTTTTCAGATTTTGGGTAAATTATAAATGGATTGTTGTGGTTATTGGATTTGGATTATGGATATATAAGTTTGGTTGAGATTTAAGGATAAATGGATTGTTGGATAATTAGTTTTGGATTGGGCATTTCACATTTGGGCCTGCTAAAATTGTATTAAAAAAAAAATTAGACCAAAAATGAGGCCCCCTAAGGTCTTGGGTCTGAGGCGCGGACCTCATTGGCCTCGTCTCAGGACCGGGCCTGCCTCATTCCTAAAGATTTTCTTCTCGATTTCCCCGATTTAGGAATATAATTAATATATATTCCTAGTCAGAGTTTGTTTGAACCCTTTTTTCAGAATAGATTTTATAATAACGATTTTTTGGAGAATGTGCGATAAGAAAGTAAGAAAAGATTTGGACTTACATGTAAAATTATTTTTTTGAAAGAAAATGTGATTGAAAATAAGTTTAGAGAAAACTAAATTTTAAATAATGGGACTCAAACATGAGCTTAGTCTTAGCAGTGTTATAATACTAGTATAAGTAACTATATTTGATACGTCAAATTAAATAGCCTTGTGTCATTACATTGAAATGATTCCATCATTTAAGAATAATATTATTTATCACCAGTAATATTAGAACACTAATTTAGACGATTACATTTTATAAATTTTATTAAATGAATGATGTGGTCTTATATTTAAATTTCTCAATGATTTTTATTATAATCAAACAATTAAGTGTCATTAAGGCTTCCACCACTTATTTAAAACAATTATTAAAATCCTTAATCTTTAGAATTAATCCACAACAAACGGAATCGAATTTCGAATTTATTTAATAAAATAAAATTACAAAGAAAATTGAAAAATGCATTTTCTAAGGGCAACTCCAACCCTTCAACTATTTTTCACCGAATTTTACCATTTTCCATTTGGTGCAAAATGACACAAGTGAATAGTGTTGCATAAAATGGTCTTGAATAATGTTGCATGTCAAGACCATTTGTCAAGAACCGCAACTTTATTTAGCCCCTTGACACTATCACAGCCACAATTTGTCCAACTTCGACCGCACATTGTAAATATTAGTTCAAGTTTTAGTTGTAATTTTCTTTTCATTATATTAGTTACTTCAATTGTAAAATAACTCTGATATTAGTAAATGTTTAGTATGATTTATCATCTTTTAAACATCTACTCCTATCACTTAGATTTTTCTTTCGAAGTTATTATAGGGGGTATTAGCCATTCAAAAATCTTTCAAGCTCACTGGTGTTCGCGCCCCTGCACCAGCAATTGTAATGTTCTGCTTTCGTCAATTGTAATGTTTAGTTTTCATCAATCAATGTTCAAATTACTTTCAATGTATTCAAATTCTCTGTTGCAAGCTTTTTACAAAATTGGAATCAAATTTTCTTTCGTTTTGATGCGATCGAGAAAAGGCCGAAGGTAGTCTAGCGGAGCAGACTACTACCGCACGGTGTCCCTTTCTGTACCAAGAAGATAGGCACCCCGTAAAAGTTGGTATCAGAGCTGCGGCTCACAACCCTCGATAAAAAAGCTATGGATCTAATTACATCCCACATCACTGAAGTGAGAGAGTCTCAAAATAAGAGTACTACTAAACAGCGCATGGATGCACTTGATGAGACAACTACTAGGTTGTGCTATGCCGTGGACGGTCTCGAAGAAAAAGTTGAGATGGCAGAATTCGAAATTCGTAAATTACAGATCCAATAGAATGAAAGCCAAAGGGCTTGCACAGCAATGACTGAAGTTGCTACAATCATTCTTGATCTACAGGATGAAATGGAAGCGTTAAAAGCTCAATTACGAGTACTCCAACGTGCAGTGGGTAATGGGCAAGCTCCCGTACCTGAGTATGCTCCTAGACTCAGAATTCCTGAACCGAGTACCTACAGAGGAGCACGTAATGCAAAAGAAGTCGAAAACTTCTTGTTTGACAAGGAATAGTACTTTCTTGCAGCTTCAATCGAACACAAAGCTAGAAAGGTAACCACAGCTACCATGTATCTAGGTGGAGATGCAAAACTGTGGTGGCAAACCAAATATGCTTTCATTCAGGTCAACAGGGTTTGAATAGATTCTTGGGATCTCCTCAAGGAAGTGATAATATCGCAGTTTTTCCCGAAAAATGTCGAGTATCAAGCTCGATGTGCACTTCGAGACCTGAAACATACAAGCTCTATCAGGAGCATGTGAAAGCCTTTTCAAGACATATACTGAATATTCGAGATATGTCGAGAAATGATAAGCTTTTCACCTTTATGGAAGGGTTGAAACCGTGGACACGTACTGAACTTCAAAGATAGAAGGTTACTGATTTGAGCACGACCATGGTAGTAGATGAATGCTTGAGCGACTACCAAACGAAATTTAGAAAAGATCGACCTTCAAGGAGTAATCAAGCAATTGGAGGTGGTAACAAACCTTACAAACCCAGCTTGAACCCAAATGAGGGAAAGCATAACTCTTATAATAAGGGAGGAGCCTATCAAAGCATCCGTGACTTTCAGGAAAATTATCAAAATGCTGTCAAGGAAATTTTAACGACAACAATAGTAACAACTCGAACAAAAGAAAAGCAACAGATGGCTGAACTGATGCCACTCCCAAATTGATGTGCTTTTTATGCAAAGGACCTCATCGGGTGTCGGAGTGTCATCAGAAATGGATGGTGAATGCATATTGTCAGCTAGTAAGTAGCGGGTCAAGTTCAAAGCAAAAGGTCCCACAGGCTAGTTGTCATGGTAAGACTAACTCCGAAGAGGATGAGGACGTAGTTGGAGCATTTTCACATCGTTGTAACACATTGTCGCATCAGGTTGCTGAAAATGATGATGTCCCCTCGAAAGAGGCAATGATGGAAGAAGCGAAGGCTCGAATTTGTAGGGTCAAAGACTTAATATACATTGATGTGAAGATTAACGGGAAGTCAATCAGGGCTGTGGTAGATACTGGTGCTACCCACAACTTCCTTGTATGTATCGAAGTAGAGCGACTTGGACTTTCTCTGGAAAGGGATAGTGGAAAAGTCAAAGCAATCAACTCCGTAGCTCAACCAATAGTTGAAGTGGTGAAATCAGTGTTGATTAAAGCAGGTCCTTTCGAAGGAAGGACAAATTTATCTGCAGTTCAGATGGATGATTTCAAGCTTATTATAGGATTGAAATTTCTTCGGGATACTAAGACAACAGTGTTGCCGTATTTCGATTCATTGATGATGATGGGTAATAAGCCACGTGTCATCCCTACACAAGTTGAGAGGATGGGCAAGAAGAGTATCTCAGCCACGTAATTTAGTAAGGATTTTAAGAAAAATGAACCTTCTTTTTTTGCACTCTTCAATTAGAGTAGATCGAAGAGGCGACTGGTCCTATTTCAAAACCCATTAAAAGGCTTATTTGGGAATTTGAGGACATCATGTCTGACGAATTACTAAAGAAATTACCACCAAGAAAGACGATTGATCATGGAATTGAACTTATTCCAGGTGCTAAACCTCTCGCCAGAGCACCATACCGTATGTCTCAGCCTGAGCTTGAAGAGCTTAGGAAGCAATTGGGAGAAATATTGGAGAGTGGAATCATTGTGCCTGCGAAGTCACCATACGGAGCTCCTGTGTTGTTTCAGAAAAAGGCCGATGGTTATCTTTAAATGTGCTGTGACTATTAAACCTTGAACAAGATCACTGTAAAGAATAGCTATCCTATCTCACTAGTTGTGGATTGCTTCGATCGACTAAGTCCAGCGAAGTATTACACAAAAATTGATCTTCTGGATATTGGCAAGTTCGGATCAAGGAGGGAGATGAAGCAAAGACTACGGTGGTAACCAGATATGGAGCCTTTGAATTTAAAGTGATGTCTTTTGGTTTGACAAACACTCCAGTAACGTTTTGTACTATAATGAATCAGGTACTTCATGGGTTCTTAGATGATTTTGTCGTGGTGTACTTGGACAACATAGTAATCTACAGCGAGATAGTAAAGGAACATGTCCAACATATGAGGCAAGTTTTCAATCGACTATGAGAGAATGAACTCTATGTCAAACCATCTAAATGCTCATTTGCTCAGACATCTATCAGTTCTTGGGTCACATCATTGAACAAGGTAAAATCTGCATGGATTCGAAAAAGATTACAGCCCTCAAAGATTGGCAACCACCAAAAATTGTACATGATGTACGTTCATTTCATGGGTTATGCAATTACTATTGAAGATTTGTGAAAGGCTACTCAGAAATTGCACTGCCACAGACTGAATTGACAAAGAAGGACAAGGATTGGGATTGGTCGTCCCAATGCCAAATTGCATTTGAAAGGTTGAAAAAGTCCATGTGGACGAACCCGATTTTAGCCTTACCGAATATGACTAAACCACTAGAAGTTCATACGGATGCTTCAAATTTTGCACTTGGTGGGGTCCTTATGCAAGAAAGACATCCGATAGCATATGAGAGCCGGAAGTTGAACCAAACAAAAAGTCGTTACTCGGCGCATGAAAAGGAATTGTTGACAGTAGTCCATTGTCTCAGAGGATGGCGTCACTATTTGCTTGGGTCTCCATTTGTTGTGAAGACAGATAACACTGCGGTTAGTCACTTCATGTCCCCACCAAAACTATCGAGCAAGCAAGCTCATTGGAAAGAAATTCTTTCAAAGTTCAATTTTATGCTAGAGTATCGTCTTGGATCTAGTAATCATGTTGCTAATGCTCTTAGTCGACAGGCCGATTTGGCTACCATTTACTCCGTGGCTGCTCTTTCAGAGAGCGCCGTCACCATGAACACAAGAGACCAAATTCGGGCACTTATAGAGAAGGACCCGGCTACTCAATATTTGGTTGACCTCATCAAGTAAGGTAAAACCCGACAGTTCTAGCTTGATGGAGAACTAGTGAAGACAAAGGGAGACCGTCTATATGTTCCTAAGGGCGGAGATTTGAAGAAATCACTAATTACTGAATGCCACTACACGATTTAGGCAGGGCATCTCGGAGAGTAACACACTTATGCACTACTACAGCGTGCATATTACTGGACACAAATGCAGGATGATATTG